ATTTTTATTTTTATTTTTATTTTTCAATAATTTGTATGCGTACATTATTTTAGATCTGGAGGGCCGAATTCTTGGAAACACCATCAACAAACTAGGCAAACATTGCACGCAGCAGCAACAGCAAATTAAAGCAATGATAACTAAAATAACAATGAACACTATTTGCCGCATCCATCCAAAATTTGGGAGCCAAGACCATGGGGATTGTGGGATATTGGAACCAATTGGATTATCTGCAATCATGTTTTCCATGTGTTCAATGGTGGCTGAAATATTTGCTTTATAATCAGTAATATACATACAACAATGTGAATGGATTAAAGCACATACATCACCCTTGGCTGCTAAAATAACATCTAAAACTTCCTCTCTAATTTGTGACATTTATTTATTAATGTTAAGGATTTGATGATAGCATTAAATAAAGCAGTAGTCCAATTTGATAAAATATGTAAATCTCTATAATTCATCATAACTCCTAAAAGAGGAATAATACCCCTTGCTAGCATGGTATCAGTATAATGATTGATGGGATTTTGAACCTCTATATTTCTACGATTCCGTAACCGTCCTTTAGGTTGATGATCAGATATTACTACGGAGGGGGCAATATATCCCAAGGTACCACCATGCAGGGATACGCTGATATGCTCGCCTACCACATGACGTCCAAATATCACCTAGTATGTTAGTTGTTTGATTATCACTCGCTGCTAATTGTCTGACCATTGATCTTACCAAATTACATAAAGGGAGATGGTCGGTGGTTGGACATCCCACCACCACTGGACACCCAGTTAATTGGTATGTACATGTAAAAGAGGTGAAGTTATGAAGATGTTCCATTTTAGTGGCATTCAGAAAGGTATTAGGTCTCTCAATAGTGGTGTTAAGAACAAATGTGTTACAATAGGGATACTCTACAACATCAACAGATGCGTATCTAGTATGGTTGATGAATTCCCAACAATATGCCGCTACTTCTTGAATCTTGCTACCAATAGCTAAGATAGAATAATCAACATAGTCTTTTTGTAGTGTTCCAAGGATGCAAGGATGTTGTTTCCATCCAGTTTCATTAAAAGGAATAGCATGTATTAAAGGTCCTCCTTTGGCTTGTGGGGGAATGTGCATGCAGATCCAGCAATCTGTCTTGTTTATTAATCGAGAGATATTTTGCACATCCCATATATAGGAATTCCATTCCCAAAGTCCTTGCTCTGGAATTCCATCTTGCAAAGTCACTATAGCCATTCCAGGGGGAAAGATACACATAAAAAGAATACACCCTATAATAATAGGTATAGAATTAGCATTTAAACAAGCAAATGCTGCTACTAAAAAGTTATCTGGTGTCTGTGGCATGTCCTTACCCTGTAACAATTTTTTTTAGACTGTGCAGAGAGGGCCTTAATCTGTCCTCAGGTCACTTTTTTTTTTTTTTTAGAGTTTGAATATTTTATTTCATTTTCATTTTCATTTTCATTTTATACAATCACTTATATACTGTGCATAAAAAAANGGAAACATTGAAATGGAATCATGAAATATTTAGTATAGCGTGTGTTGCTTTTACATCCACTAGATGGCGCTGGTTTTCAAAAAAGTATGTTTTTACAAAAAATCATGCTTTTACCTGTCACAGGTGTGACATCTTTATAATATCTATATAAATAAAAATGTAATGGTTGTTTGTTCAATCCCCCAAAGTTCTTCACCAATTACGTTGCATTCAAATACGTGAATGTTTTTATATATGTATATTACATAGATGTCACACCTGTGACAGGTAAAAGCATGATTTTTGAAAACCAGCTCCATCTGGTGAATATAAAAGCAACACAGCTATATTAAATATTTCATGATTCCATTTCAATGTTTCCAGCACCATCTGGTTGACGTAAAAGCAACACACACTATACTAAATATTTCATGATTCCATTTCAATGTTTCCGATTGCATTGTTATATTGAATTTTCATAGATCTTGATTTATTTTCATTTTGATTTAATTATTTCATGTGACATTGCGTTGTGTCGTTTACCATAGCGTTCATTTAGTGAGTATAGTATATTCGGAACAGTTCGACCTCTCTCCAGCTTCGTCCCGGCGGTCCCTTTATATGTGTGGCTGGGCTACGGCCGCACCCTTTCCCCTTTCTGCCCTCCAGAGGAGACGGAGGCGGAGTTTCTCCTCAGCCCAGCCGGCTGCATACGCTCTCCACACACACCCTCACAGAGAGCCAGCTACGGCCTCGCCAAGGCAGCTCCAGCGGGACAACAGCAGCGTCAGCCTGAGATGCAGCAGGGTTGGAGCAGCCCCTGGGTGTCCCATGAGGCGGCACACCGAGGACTTCTCCAAGATCCTGGACGTCTCACTCTCCCGGGCCACCGACTTGGGGGAGCCCAAGCACAGCTCCTTCAAGGAGAAGCTCAACAACTTCCACGAGGTCGACAGCCCCGGTGCCATCTTCCCCCAACCAGCCTCACCCAGCCCAGCAGCCCCGAGTCCTGACCAACAGCAGCACCCACCCGCCGTTGCACTACGCCCAGTCTGGGCCACAGCAACGCGTGGCCGGGAACAGCTACTAAAAAATAAAAATTAGATTTAAAAAAAAGAAATGGGGAAGGGGGGGAGGAAAATAGACCAGCTATCAATCAAAACAAAAAGGTTTCCTGTAGGAACCAAGGTCATCTTGACAGATGGCAGAGGAGTGGCAGCTACCTTCATTGGACAATGCTCTCTTAAGGGGAAACTGCAGGAACTGAGTTGGTTTTCGCTAGTTCTGCTGATATGGTTTATGCCATAAACATGTTTTTTGAGGAATCTACTTGCCTTGGAGTTCTGCTTTTGGTGGATGCATTACTTGGAACCCTGACACAGAGTTGCAGTCAGAAATGCATTTAGTCCTGAATCCCTTACTATTGTTTTAGCTTTTTTTACTTTGCTTAATATTGTTGAAATCTGCCTTTCAACCTTGCTTCACATTATGTATTGCGAGTAACAACAGA